CGAAAACTTATGTCCAAATAAGTATGTTAGTCTCTAAGGTGCCACAAGGACCCCTCGTTGTTTTTGCTGATATAGAATAACACGGCTACCACTGTGAAACCTATTATGCTAGATGTTACTTCAATACACAGGTGCTTAGCCACAGTCACTGGAGGCAACAAAGATGATGCTAGAACTGAAACAGTGACAGCATCCTCCTACTTCTGCCTGAAAACTCCAACAGACCCTGCTCTTGAATATCCACTCAATATTTCATGAAACTTCACCAAATGTCACCTTTCCAAGACAAGATGGCATCTCTCATGAGTCCAGATGTTTTCCAATGCGTCTGTGCTGATTTGTCAGTTCCTTGAAGCAAAAGTTTTTATGTTGCCCTTTTCTGTTTAGACCAGAAGCCTATTTTATCATCCAGTTATAGACCAGGCACTCGTTAACCTCTCAGATCTCTGGAGAACTGTGGTTTTAAGGGAGCCCAGAAGGGAGGGACAAATTTAGAAACCTGTTTATCCAGTTCACCAGAATTGAGATGTTATGGTTTCCATTCTTCCGGTGGCTCCCCTCCCCCCACACTCTCCTCACCCGCGCTCCCCAAAATGCCAAATTTCCATCATCAGAGCTCTCTCTATAAACGAATACTTTGTTACTGGACTAAGGAAGAAAGAAACCACAGGCCTGTTAGGGACAGAGACAGGGGGAGCAGAATATGTGCTTGAAAGCATGTTTATTCGGCTGGATTGCAGATGGCCAGTTTAGGAATACGATATCATATTTTTAAGCATTTCATAATGTCTTATTATTAATTCCAACCAAACCCACCAAGACCAAAATTATCTGAAATTGGTGCTTGCGTGTCCTGACCCCAAACCCAACAATGTTTGCATATAAAATATATATATTTCCCCCCAGATTTAATTTTTTTTAATCAATTAGCAAACAGTGTTCCTGAGAGACTAAGGAAAAGACAGGCTTCCATGTCTAAGGAACTGAAATGTGGTATTTGGCAGATTCTACTTCCAGGAAACCAAAATGCTGAAGTCCTAGAGAGACAAGCTGCAAGCAAAGAGCAATCCTAAAGGAAAGGGTTTTATTGGACCTACCCCTTGTCATTAAACACTCTATATTTTACTTTAGTCTGATATTTTTATTTACATCTAAAACCCTTTTCCATCTCCGAATGAAAACGTTCACTTTGCCCTTTGTGAATGGGGAGAGGCTCTCTATAAATTAGCCCACCCAAATGATATGCTGACATCCAGGTGACAGGAAGCTGGCATACCGGTGTGGAAGCAGAAAAAGAGAAAAAGGAGGATCTGGGGGTAGAGTCTTAGTCAATTTAAGGATAGAGCGAAAGGAAACCCTAACCCTAATAACGCGAGAGTTGTAAGAGATGCTGTTTTCATCCTTGCTTTTAGTTTTAAAGATGGAATGCTGATGTAAGCAGAAACCTTGAGATAAGGTAGCATCTGGAAGGAATTTGCATAAACAAAGGATAACTGTTAGCCGTTGATGTATGTAACGGAAAGTATAAATACTGGTCTAACACTGCTTGTAGGGGGAAGATCTGCCTAAGGTCAGGGGACCCCCAGTCCGACCACAGTCTTCCCTTGCAATTGCTTGTAATAAACTGTCTCTGACTTGTTTCTAACAAACGCAGAGTGAAGACTTGTTTTCTTCCACACTGGTAACACAGGGACTGGTTTTCATGAAACTTCTTACCTCTGCTTAATCCAATTGACCTTCATGAGTGCTGCAATTTACACATTTAGAATAGCTAATTGCTGGGGACCATTACAAAGAAACCCTGAAAAAGCCACATCACCTCCCCCCTTCCCCCCCAAAACCCCAACAAACTCTCAAACCAACCAACCTATCATAGCAAAAAAACCAAAAAGAACCCCGCACAAGCTGGAAAAGACTCCTTTGTCCTTGTCAAATAAGCAATCAAATTTTATAACTTCACCGCAATGTGCATTTTTTAAGGCTTTGGGTGTGGAGAGGTTATAGTCATTAAAGTGAGAATGACACTGATCATAACCAAGCAAAGTTAATGCTTTTCAGACTTCTGTACATATCTTAAAGTCTGATTTGTGCATCAGCTCATGCCATGCCAATCCTGAGTTCTCATATGCTTCTGCCAACGCATATTTTTATCTGAAATTTATTTATGCCTGATTAAGCAGAATATAACACGCTACAAGAGTCATTGGCAAGATGTACAGTACAAGAAGTTCTCGCAGTCATCTGTCTCAAAATGAAAGGGCTGGATCATCACAAGGAGTAGACAATATGCCAGAAAATTATATACTGTGGCATTCCCCATCTCAGGTTTTGTTTCTTTCTTTATTCAGTTGTTTTAGTGCTATTATAGGAATTCAAATCAATATTGAAAAGCCAACCTTTCAAATAATAGCAATAGAGTAAAAAGGTCATCCAATTCATTTAATTTCCTTCCTTATTAGAGAAAACTGGTTACTTATTCCTAGATTCTAATTCATAGATTTCAGCTGGTTACTTATTTGCAATTCAAATTTTAAATCTGTAAGTTTTCATACTAAAAATATGCTAATTCATATTTGTACATATTTTTAGAAATAAAGTGTTCCATGACACCTCTACTACATAAATGATCCATAAGTACAGTAAGGAATCATAACACCACCTAGCTCTTATATAGCACTTTTCATCAGAAGATCTCAAAGCACTTAAGAAAGTGGGGAAAGTGAGGCCACAGGAAGGTGATGTAACTTGACCATGGCTGCCCAGCAGGCCAGTGGCTGAGACAGAAACAAAACCCAGGTCTCCTGAGTCCCAGTCCACATCTACAAAGCCACATCTGACTATATAAAGTATGAGTGACAAACCAGTTCTCTGTAAAAGGATAGCTATACACTCTTTAGACAATTCTGGAAAGAAATTACACTTTTCCTTGACCTGATGCTTGATTTCTGAACAAAAGCTTGTCTCCGGACAGCTCTTCCCCCTAATACTGCACAAATCCATAATAATCTAAGTAACAGGTATGTGAATCTCTTTGTGTGGCAATTACCAAGCATATTACAATTTGTTGGTGAATTTTCAGAGGAAAATATTCTGCACAAAAATCAAGTGTCACATCAGTGAGCAGAATGCCATTTTCTGTCCAGAACTGTGTAGCTTTACAGAAAACATTGTGTAACGTATCACTTCTAGGAATAAGCCAACATCTTTAACATGTAAATAAGGAGCTATGAGCTAGAATAAAAGGACAAATTTCAGTCTACCTTTCCCCATATGCTTCATTTGCATGGGAGGGAAATAGTGATGAAAAGGAAGAACAAAGTGAGAAAAAAGAGTGCACTTTTGAAATCTGGAACCATTGCACTACAGAAATGATAACCTACCTAGGATGGCACAACTTGATAAGTACCACCATCTACTAAATTATTAACTCAGATGTCAAATACACACATTTTCAGAATTAAAATATTTACATAAGCATAGTTCAAAAACCTAACTAAACAAAAAAAACACTTCAAGGAAAATGTTTAAGAGACTGCAAATACAAAGAGGATTGTGTATTCCGAACATACGCTGTCATATACTTAGGACCTTGTGGATTTCTGTAGCACTGTACCCGCAGAATGCATTAGCAGCTGTATAATTCCCATATCCAAGGCTTTTAAAAAGTCTAGTCATGAGATCACTACATGCACTTGGAAGTTAACTCTTTGAGCGCACTTTCTGTACACGACTGGCATTGATGGAAAACCCACAAGATGGCACAGCTGAGAATGTTGTACACAGAGACAGACCCATGTCTCTGTAGTTCTCTCTGAAGTACTGAAAGGGTTGAAATCACCCCACCAGACTCCCAGAGAATAGAGCAAAAAACTTAATTTAAATTAACTGGGGAACTCATCTCCTAATGAACAATTAGGATTATGTCCTATGTCTTTATTAGTTGAATGATATCAAATACCTGAGAATAATGAGATACCCCTGGTCAAGATTAGACCAATTGTGCAAAGTCAAGCAAAATGTTTACAGAAAGGATTGCTCTACAGAGAGTTAGAAATCATAACTTTTAGAATACGACTTAAAAGGCAGACTACTTCCACGTTATACTTACAATGGGGAAAGGAAAAGAAAATGATTTTTTAAAAGCTGCATTTTGCTATACTAAAGCAATTTTACTTGAAAGTTTTTTGAACAACTCTCTTCATCCTCTACCCTTACTCCACTGTAGCAGTTATAAGAGTGACATTACAGCACTTGATTATTCACTGTTTGACAATACTTCTGATGCTGGTATCTAAGTTCGGTGAACGGAGAAACGTTGCTCTTGCTTTCAAATTGCCAACTTTATTTTGTCTGTACCATTTTGTGGGAGGCTGATGACTTTATAGGTGGTGATAAAGCAGTGCGTTGACAGTTTAATGGGTAGAGGAAAATATGTAGCAGACGAGTGGGTACATCTGGAATTGATGAGGAGTGGAGAAAGATTCGGTGCCAACTGGAAGCTCTTGGTAATCACAAAAAACATGTGATCCTTCACATGACCCACAATACATTTCCATTGCTACAGGAATACTTACTGATGCTGTCGTGTCTTTCATCCTTTATTTAATGAAGAAAATCCAGCAAAATAAGGTTCAATCCTTTTGGAAAATACCCCAAAGCAACTAAAGAAAAGTTCTTAGAAGTAGCTATGATGCAGAAATCAACATCCCAATCTTAATACCCATTTGATAAAACCATTCCAGCGACCCACTTTACATTTCAATTGAATCCCTGTTTACTTACCATAAAAATGAATTAAACAGCAGAAGCCAGAGGCAGCTATCCACAGTGCTGTGGAATAAAACTCTTCTTTTAAACACAAACCAATTCCTTTATTATGCAACATGTTGAAAAGCAAGGCAGCAGGTGTGGGGGGAAGATGAGAGAAAAAGTGCACACGAATACAAAGGAGAGAAGACTGGTTATCAGCCATATCCTCTCAATTCAGATTTTTATGCTACCTGAAGCTGTTGGGAACTGTCATTGAGATTGTCCTCCCTCCGTCTGGCCTCTTCTAGCATCTGTGCACTCTTCTTTTTTTCCACTTGCTCTTTGTGCTTCAGGTTTGCTACCTTCTTATTTTGGTCTTTGACTTGCCTGTGAAGTGAAAAACAAATACTCAGAGCACAATCCAGAATATGTTCTCAGTCAGTCCTGGCTGTTGTGTGACCTGGACCGAAGAATGGTGGAAAGCCCAGAAACATTCTCACTCATCTTGCAGGAGCCCACAAACTCTCCAGCTTCCAACCCACACTCAATTGTAAACTCCATTTAAAGAACACTTTGTTTTACGCACCACTATTAAAAGAAGTGACTGGAAGTTCCTGGAGTAATCTCAGACTGCATCACCCAATTAATCTAAAACTTCAAACTGCTACATCTGTAAGAGTTGTTGATCAAAGACATACCTGCTCTCTGGCGACTCGTCACAGTGTATTATACACATATATAGAAACCCATATTACCTTGGGTACACAATTGTACTTTATTCAAGGGAATGGGGGAGGAAGAGTAATTAAAAAAATCCCCACAACTCAAACATAGAGGAACATCTGCAAGGTCCAGGCCATCTGCTTCAAGCAGTAAAACTATTTTCTCCAACCTCAAATTCTACTTGTTTACCAGATATTTTGTGGTATATTCCCCACCCCACTCTTACAGAGACAAGAAAGTGTGCATAATTTCCTTTTTCACTTGCATCTGTGAATTATTCTTGATGGTTCTGGCAATTACCATTGCCCGCAGCAGGGGTTTGGCCTTTCTGGGCATTAAGACACATGGAGTATGGAACCTAATTACAGACCCTTTAATCTCTGTCTCCTGACCACAGAAAACTTAAGTCTAAACTTTTGGTCCAATCAAAATAAAACAGAGCAGCTTTGCTTCCTCAGCCTTTTTCTCCATAATTACATCTGAAGTTTGGACTCTGGAATAAAAGGCAGATTCTTTGGTCCCAAGCTTTCCCCCCAAATATCATACAACTAGCATAGAGAACTCTTTAATTTAATGTTTAGAAAAAAATCATAAACTAGCTTCCTTTTTGGAACATGACACACACAGAAGGAGAAGAATGTTTCTTCTGAAGGCATCTCAGAAAGACATTTAGAATAGATTGCAAACAACTTTGGCTGCTTTGATATTTCCTTCAGAGCTCACAGCAAAGAGATTACCTCTTTGCAGAATACACAAATTAACTGATTTATAACTGGTCAGGGCTCTGCAGTGCCATACAAAGAATTTGGGTTCAATTCCTAGGCTATGGTTTTTGCTCCCTGAGACAGTTGGGGCTGGAGTAACTGCACAGATAGCAAACTCCAGTGGTGTTGCTTTGCAGAGACTCTCATCACAGAGAAAAGAACAGTGCTGATGGCCTCCAGAGACAGTCTCTTCTAGCTCTTCTCAATCGAGGAAGATGACCAATATGAGGTGTCTTGAGGAATTTGGAAGCGAAAGTCCTTTGCTTATTACATTAAAGAATCATTGGTGTACCTGTAAGTGCCCTTTCCAAAAAACTACAGCTGATTCTACTTGGGATACTACATGTACACAAATAGTATAATTGATAAATTGCTCTAGGCTAGTGCTGCATCATGGTAATGGGCACTGAGTCCACTCTGAAAGCTGATTTGCTCAGAGATTACATTAGTTTTCTGAAATACTTTGTCAGCACTGAACTGAGCTTGTACAACACAGAGTTATTTATGTACTGTTAAATAAAGATAGAAAGTAGAGTTAATTTATAGAAAATATAGTTAAATAATCCCAACACACACAGTTTCACACGGGTATTCTAATTCAATTCCTATATTAAGGATAGGTATATGGATTTGATTTGATGAATCTGATGAAACTAAATTTATCCATTAGAAAAATATTCCTTGTTATCACTATTTTCTGGTGCACTCTGAACTACAGAAATAAAGGCACACCACTGATTAAAATAAAAAATAGATTATCTTTTGCGAAGTCCAAATCCTCTCCATTAAAAAGGTCTTTCCTGAAAAGCAAGCTGATTAAATGAACTTTTGACATGACGTTTGCTGCCCAGGATCTGAGCCAAAAAGCAAGACTTGCTAATGAATTGGCTCCCATAGTGTATGTAAAGGATCATCTGAATGTTGAAGAAGCAGTCAGCCAGAAAATCTAAGGCAAACATAAGTACTTCCTAAAGGCAGATTTAGAGAGAGCCCATGCAACTCCCATGCCTTAAACCACTTGATCCAAGCCAGAATTATGGAACCTGCAAAAAGTGCAGCCTAGGGCAATCCTACTGTATCTTTGATGGAAAAAATCATGTGGCTCTAGTGAAGACCTTGAATGAGATAGGGATTTATAGTGAACTTGGCTGTAATGGTTCAACTATTGTAAAAACAAAACAAAACAGGTTACATGTGCCTTGGGCAAAGGAATCTATAACTTGAAAAAGTGAAGAAGTAATTGGGAAGGTGTGGGGGACGTGACGCAGCCTCTTTCATTGCTCACATGAAATGCACGTTGACTCTTACCCCGCCAACAGAAGCGCAGATGATCATAAGCAGAATAAGGACAATGGACATTAAAAAAGCAGTCTTCAGCAAACTCAGAGAACTTTCTCCCCACAGTAAGATCCTGTGGGAAGAAAATCTAAGCTATAAAATTATTAAAAGCGCAACTGCCAACTATTCCAATCTGAAGGAAAGATAGAAAAAACAGCAAAAGGAATGGCTCCATCAGGAACTCCTTAATGATCTGAAAATCAAAAAGGAATCCTACAAAAAGTGAAAACACAGACCACTTGCTAATGAGGAGGACAAACAAACAGCACAACCATATAGGGACGAAATCAGAAAGGCTAAGGCACAAAATGAGTTATGTTTAAGAAGGGACATAAAATCTAATAAGAAGTTCTTTAAATACATTTGGAGCAAGAGTAAGATGAAGGAAAGTGTAGGTCTTCTACTTAGTGTGGGGGGAGAGCTAATAACTGATGACATCAAACAGGCTGAGGTGGTTAATGCCTATTTTGTTTCAGTCTTCACTAAAAAGGTTAATTGTCACCAGATACTCAAGAAAATTAATATTAACAACAAAAGGAAGGAACGCAAGACAAAACAGGGAAAGAACAAGTTAAAGAATACTTAGATGAGTTAGATGTCTTCAAGTTGATAGGGCCTGATGAAATTTATCCTAGGATACTTAAGGAACTTACTGAAGCAATAGTTACGAGAAGGTAGATAATCTTCGAGTGCTTCCTCATGTTGATTCCAAAGAGACGACTCCCAAGAATCTCCTAGGAGGAGAGGTCAGAGTTCAGTGGATCGCAGATTGCAGCATTGCTCTGCCAAATCTGTCATCATGGCTGGCCTGCTGTGTAACGCCACAGTGCAATGTAAAGATGTGGATCAAAGACCATGTCGCTGCCCTGCAGATGGTCTTGAATGGGAACTTGCACCAGGAACGCTGCCAAAGATGCCTGTGCCCTCATAGAGTGTGCCATCAGCATGAGGGCAGGTATCTTAGCCAGGTCGTAGCATACCCTGATACTGGCCATGATCCATGAAGAGATTCTTTGGGACGACACTGTAAGCCCATTCATTCGCTCTGCAATTGCAATGAAGAGTTGTGTTGATTTTGAAATGACTTTGTTCTTTCAATGTAGAAGGTTAATAGCTCACCTGACATCCAGGGAGTGGAGCACTCACTCTCTGTTACTAGTGTGTGGCTTAGGAAAAAACACTGGAAGAAAAATGTCCTGGTTCGCATGGAATGATTAAACTACCTTTGGGAGAAAGGCCGGACGTGGCCGCAACTGCACCTTGTCCTTATAGAAGACGGTATATGGGGGCTCAGAAGTCAAGACCTTAAGCTCAGACACCCTCCTGGCTGAAGTTATAGCCACCAAGAAAAGACAGTTACCTTTTCTGTAACTGGTGTTCTTCAAGATGGGTTGCTCATGTCTATTCCACAATAGGTGTGAGTGCTCGCCACGTGTACCAGTGCCAGAAGTTTTTCCCCTAGCAGTACCCTTGGGGGGGAGGGCCCCCCGCGACCCCTGGAGTGGCGCTTGTCTGGTGTGGTATAAGAGGAGCTGCGCGCTCCCCCCATCCTCAGTTCCTTCTTGCCAGACAACTCTGACAGAGGGGAAGGAGAGTGGGATGTGGAATAGACATGAGCAACACATCTCGAAGAACACCAGTTACAGAAAAGGTAACTGTCTTTTCTTCTTCAAGTGATTGCTCATGTGTATTCCACAATAGGTGATTCTAAGCTACATCTGTTGGAGGTGGGTAGGATTTCACAAGTCCCCAGGACTGAGGACACCCCTGCCAAACCCGGCGTTATCCCTGGTTTGGAAAATGATCACATAGTGCGAGGTGAATGTGTGAACCAAAGACTGTGTGGCGGCCCTACAAATGTCCTGGATGGGGACATGGGTCACGAAGGCAGCTGACGAGGCCTGCGCCCAAGTCAAGCGTGCCCTCACAATGGGTGGCGGGGGGATACCCGTCAGCTCATAACAGGAGCGGATGCACGAAGTGATCCGATTGGAAAGCTGTTGAGTGGAAATCGGCTGGCCCCTCGCGCACTCAGTCGAGGCGACGAACAGTTGCGAGGACTTTCTGAATGTCTTGGTCCGCTTGAGGTAGAAAGCCAGAGCCCACCGAACATCGAGGGAGGGAAAGGAATTATTTAAGCTCAGTACCAATATAGTACAGAAGAACAAATGGATATAAACTGGCCATCAGGATGTTTAGACTTGAAATTAGCCTGTGATGGGATGTTAGATGGGGTGGGATCTGAGTTACTACAAAGAATTATTTCCTGGGTATCTGGCTGGTGAGTCTTGCCCACATGAGTTCAGCTGATGGCCATATTTAGGGTTGGGAAGGAATTTTCCTCCAGGGCAGATTGGCAGAGGCCCTGGGGGTTTTTCACCTTCCCCTGCCGAGTGGGGCACGTGTCACTTGCTGGAGGATTCTCTGCACTCTGAAGTCTTTAAACCATGATTTGAGGACTTCAGTAGCTCAAACATAGGTGAGAGGTTTATTGCAGGAGTGGGTGGGTGAGATTCTGTGGCCTGCATTGTGCAGGAAGTCAGACGAGACAATCATAATGGT